TATGCCACCCGGATTTATAGGTACTCGTGGAAAAAGGAATGACATTCAAGATAGGCCTTCACCGAATTTCGATATGGGAATGAACGATAAAGGAAATAATATTTTGCCTGAACTTTTTGAAATTCCTACTAAAAAGCAAGATTTTCCACCTGGGTTTATAGCAGTAAGAGGAAGACGTCAAGATGTCCCTCCAGGTTTCGTTGCTGTCCGAGGAAAAAGACAAGTAGATCCGGGATTTATTGCAGTTCGGGGAAGAAGAGATGACATTTTCCCTGGGTTTGTGGCTGTTCGAGGAAAAAAACAAAACGTAGATCCAGGTTTTATAGCAAGTCGTGGTAGAAGACAATATGTAGATCCCGGATTTATTGCAGGTCGCGGAAGGAGGAATGGTGGCAAGAGCATAAGTGTGGATCCTGGATTTATTGCAGGAAGAGGTAAAAGAAACGATGATTCAACTGATTTTATGGCAATTAGAGAACCAAGGCAAGACGTAATAGATCCAGGTTTTATTGCTGTTCGTGGAAAACGGAATATTGACATGCCTAGCGATGTAAACGTTATCAAAAATAGAAAAATCCATTCCTCTAATTCTATGATAATACACGGAAAAATACAAGATAAACAACCTACATTTGTGGAAATCCGCAAGAAAAGAAGTGCTCCTCTTGAATTTATAGAAAATCAAGCAAAATCAGAATATTTATTTGATATTCCCTTGATATTGCTTTCAGAAAGATACGATTTAGTTGATGATTTAAACGGAAACTCTGAAACAGATTTTTCTAAAAGATTTGATAATTTTCCACCAGGATTTATAGCAGTTCGTGGTAAAAGGAAATCAGAATTTACATATGAAAATATGACTAATGGAGATCTAATTGATTGCACGAAAGCACAAGTTGCATTATGTCGTTGGTTTGTCGCTACAAAAGGTTAAACCTTCAGATAAAAATGAAAAATAAAAATATTTTCACTGAAAAAAAAAACATAAATAAAATAATTTCAAAGCATCATTATCGTTATTGGTTTAAATATTAAAACCAAAAATTTAAACATTTTATATGTAATAAAATTATTTTTCGGTCTCAAATAAATATACAGATTTAATCATTTATATTAAATAAGATATTAATTTTTATAAATAATTTATGGCAGAGATTTCTAACCAGTAGACTTCTTTCCAAAATTAGATTTAATTATTCGACTCCTTTCTATACTATGTTATCTTAAAATAAGAAAATTTATAAGATACAAATATAAGAATTACAAAAATATATATTAATTTTTAATCCTAATAAAACTAAGTTTATTGACCAACCGAAACGATCCCTAATAATTTATCAACCATGCAGATAAATTTAATCCTGGAAGTGTCAATAAATTACTAGTTGCCCTTTCCAGGATTGATAGCAGAAAGGTTAAAATAAAAATTTTCCAGTATTTTTAAGGATTAAATTTATCTAAAGTAATAAATACAAGACACAAAGTGGATATCTCTTATACCAATTACCAATACTTTCTAATTAAAAGTTTAAGTCAATGTAATTTTTAAATAGATTTTTGTTAGTTATATATTTTTTTCCATTTTCTGACGTAAATTACTAATTTATTCAAAAGAAAACGTTCTTACGTTAAGTTTAATGTGTATCTAATGTCAACTAGAGCTATTTTACGACTATAAACCAATTGATGAATTGTGGTAAAGTAATTTAACCTTCAATTTGATTTGTAATAAAAATAAATGAAATATCCTCGACTAGAAAAAGAATGGAAAAGTAATCAAGATGCCAAATAATAGAAAACTTACATTTACATAAATCACAATCATGAAATGACTTTCTTTTAGAATTTGAATTATTTATGAAATCACTTGTCTGGTTAAAGTAATTTTTATTTTTATTTTTTTTCATTGATGCTTACAAATTACCTCAGCAAGAGCTTCTCTGAGTTTCCTATAATCGAAAATTGTTTAAGGAAACAACAGAAAAATATTGAATTTTATTTTAGAACTTCTTACAACGTATCTATAAATATATATATATATATATTTAAGTTAAAAAATGAATAAATTATCTATATCAGATTTCTTAAAATTTTCCAGTTGTGTTCAAGATATTTGAATAATATTTACGAATAATATTACTGTATATAATATGTGCATATAAAAAATTCAAAATAGATTTATTTCCATAAAAAAATGTTTCTTCGTGTACAAAAAATATGTGCATGTATTATGTGGATAATGGAATTAAAATATTCGCCATATTTGAAACAATTTTTGAGTTTTTTTTTTCGTATTTCTGCAAATATTTTTAGCATATATGTAAGATGTCAAATAACAAAGGCAAAATATTTCTTATTTTAAGAAAAATAATATATATTTTTCGTGTTTTAATAATTTTTATATATGAAAAAAAGTACAGATGTATCTATACTTTTTCTTGCGAGTAAAGGTCTCTTTCTATAAATAATATTCCTTTTGCTCCTTATCAATAATATTGTAACAAAAAATATATTGTGAATCAAGATATTTATTTTCTGATTAGCGAATATTTTCATATTTTTTTTATTTAACATAATCAGCAATGTGTTATTTAATATAAAAAATACATTCACACTTGATTTATTATCAACTTTACATTATTTTTGATTATATTTTAATCAATATTAAACTGCGAAATATTTTTCAAGAAATTTTAATAAATTTAAATAAGAAATAAATTAATTATTTCAAAAACATTTACTTCACAAAAACCTTATTCTATTGCCATTTTACAGATCTGATCTTCAAGATACCTTTCCTCTAGAATTACCTTTTTAAACATCTCTGTCATGCCTGAATATCGCTGAAGATCTTTTTCTGAAGATTCTTTCAATACCGCTGTCATCCTGCTCTGAATGTCTTCAATAGAATCAAAGTCAGACCTTTTCAAAAAATATTTATGTAGTGATAATTCTCAAGAAGTATCAATAGGCTACTTTAAACAGAGAAATTTATCTCGTACAATGAATTACGTGTAAATTAAAAATTAAATCGATTTTATATCATTATAAAAGTATTATATATATATATGTATATCACACTTTCGTTTCGTTAACATTCAAATGTTGGTATTGAAATATTTATCATATTCTTCGAAATCTTATCGCAGAATAAAAATCTTTAAAAGAATTTTATTTTGGATCCACTGAAGATAATCAGAATAACATGAGCAGCAGTAAGAAAAGAATTTTTAAGAAATGATTTTTTTTGTGGTACTTTCAGAAGTGGAAGAAATTTCAAGCAACTAAAAGTTGAATTGAATGCAATAATCTTTAAAATTGTTAATATTACTTTAAAATATTAATACTTCTTCCCTATAGGTTATAAATTGTTATATCTATAGATCAGAGTTCAGTATTTTGTTGAAGAATTTTATTATGTTTTTTCCTTACATTATATTGTGAATTATCTATATTATCAGTCAAATTTTATATTTTATTCGCATTATTGAATATCAGCTTAATTAACAGATGAATAATTAAGGAGATTTTATCTCAATCAGTTAATTTATGGGAATAAAAAAAAAAAGACAAATTGACTGTTATCGAATTACAAGTATTAACAATACTTAAACACCACGATTAAAATTTATTTCGAAAATTTAAAATTTGGATCGATATATTTAAAAATAGAATTATTCTTTTTGTTAAATTATAATATATCATGTTATAATGCATGTTCTTTGCATTGAAGAACATTAATTAAATGAAAGCTGGACGTTTAATATTTCAAAGGTCCTTGTTATATTTTATAATTTAATTTCATTGTAGATGAGAAACACTTAATAATTTCTCAAAAATACTTTGAAGTTTGGACTTAGTAAGTTTATAAAAAATAATAAATGAATACTACAGGGATTAATTCGTAGATATTTGTTTAATAAAGCAGATAAATGTTTTATAAAGCTGATAATGAAATATTAAAAGTATATAGCTATTATGTTAATGTGTATAAATATATGAGATTGTTAATCAACAGTTAAATGCACCATATATAATTGAAATAAATCAAAATTTAAGTTATAAATGTTGAATTTATTTTGTATTATTACAGGCGTTTAAAACTGATTTCTGTTCACGTTAATTTGTTAATACCATAATATAAAAAATAATTAACAATAATTTTAAAAAACTCAATTATTTTTTACAATAAATATTACTATCTGTAAAAATATATTATTATACTACAAATTAATTATTTAAAATATGTTTTTAATTTCAAAAGAAGTTGATCTTATAAAGTTATTTCAAATTAATTTAATGTTTCTACGTAATTTTATAAGAACAGAGACAATAAATAATTATCTAATTACACTAGAAAATATATAAGTTTAATTTAAACTAACAAGTAAGATAATTAATATAAAATTCAAAATAATTACATGAAAGTTATTTATTATTTTTAAAGTTAAAATTGTGTTTTTTTAATTAATATAACTAATTCAAATTTTAAATTTGCTTATAAACATTTTGTTAAAGTTTTAAATGTTCGATTAATATCTTCTAACAAAGATTAAACCCACCTGTCGTCCATTCGCTATAGTTTCATCAACGTCTAAGAATAATTATTCTGCCATTAACGATAACTATTTATAACAATATAAGAAGGATGAGATGAGCTTTATAATGAAAGATATTTCGTAAACTTGAAAGACTCGAGTTTTTAAAATAAGTTTTATTATAAAACGTCAACAATAATGAATAATGAAACTCGTAAGAGAACTTTGTAAAATCATAAAATTTTTGGAATTAAAAACATATTTTAAATAATTAATTTTTGATATATAAAATATGTACTTATAAACATTAATATTTATTGTAAAAAGAGACAATTTTATTATATTTTATCTGATTTTTTTTTTTTAATTAAAACTATTAATCGCTGATTTTGACAAATTTGTTTGCATGGACTATCATTAATAAAGCAGAATTTTCAGTTATATCTCACTCTCCCTGCCAGTTAATTTTATGATATCACGTTTTCGTGATTGTGTACAATATTTGAATCCTTTATTAAATAGCAATATTTCATTTTTCGAAGATAATTTATTGATGTATAAGAACCGATCGTTTTATAATTATCTCATTATTCATTCTGTTTGGTCTTCCGATTTGATTTTTTTTAATCGTGTAATTTTTGATGTAGTTGTTATTGTATCCGTAGTTATTTATAATAGAATTCTTTTTTGTCAGACAAATAACCCGTTTCATTATTATTATCCACATAATATATCATTAATATAATTGCCAGCCACGTCGCTATGGTATATACTTCGACAATGCTAGTGATAAATGTGGCGGATCATCGACAAAGACTGACAGCAACCCAGGCGATCTTCTTCTCTTCATTGTTCCTTCTCCCCCTTCTGTAATTGTAACCTTTGCGGTTGTGCGGCAACAGTAATGTTTGTGTTCCTTGTAGGAAAGATGTTTAACAACCATTAGTACAGAAGTCATGTGGATGTAATTGCAGAGTCAACATTCTAACTGTGCCCGAAGACACGAATGTGCACAAGACGACGGGGCGGAATTCCCTATACACTACAAGAAAACCTTTAAGAGTAGATTGTCCCTCATAACATAACTATTCATTACTTCATTACTAGGGTAAGTATAGAAATAAAACCAGAATTACTGTACGTTTGGCCATTAAAACTTTGCAATTCCTGTCCCAGTGACTTATTTTTATGGAAAAGCATTTTCCCCCTTTTAACAGCTAAATATTATCCAAAAATTTTTCTAAAATGATCACGTTCGAGTAATAAATTGTGACTATTTTTAATAAATTCACCCGATACAATCTAGCTAACATCTATAACATATATTTAAATTTTTAGCCTAAACGGAGTTATAAATCTTAACAAAATAACTTACTATCAAAATTATTATTGAAAT